CACCGACCTTCTCCCTGAGCTCCCGCTACGGACGCCGGAGGCGTAGTGACTTGTCTTCCCTAAGCTCCCCTCTCCGTTACCACCAGGAGGTCCTGGCTCACTACTCCCACCGCGCTCTGGACGACGACATCCGCAACCAGATGGCCATGGACTGGGTGAACAGGGAGCAGAACAGCCCGGGGGCCCTTTCCAGAGAGCTGGCTTCGACGGAGAGGGAGCTGGACGAGGCTCGCCTGGCTGGGAAGGAGCTGCGTTTCCATAAGGAGAAGAAAGACATCCTGATGCTGGCAGCGGGTCAGCTGGGGAGCATGCACTCCTCCAACTGCTAGACTCTCGCGTGCGAGTCCTTCCGCTCCCCCGGGCTACTAATCCCTCCACCGGGATCCGTCCCCATCACGTAAAGCATGTAACACCTCTTCCGGAATCGTGGCCTCTTTGCACATTTTAAAGGTGGTTTTTTTTTTTTTCTTTGTTTTTTTTTTAAAAAAGCAGCTCCTGTACAGATTTAAAACCCCTTCAATACTCGCTTCTAGAGCCCCTATCCGCTAGAGAATTCCTTCTGCCACTTTTTTCTTTTAAAGTCAGCGATAAAATCCAGCCTTTCCGCGTTAGCACCAAAGACACCCCCCCTGTACGTTGGTACTGTATAGTGGGCAGTATTCCATGAAATGCAGCACTTCCAGAATCTTCCTGCTGCATGTCATGCAGACCTGCTTTTTGTATTTTTCCTTCTGCTCCCGCAGTAGAGGCGGGATCAATCGAAACTCCTTCTGGATGAGCACCCTAATTAAAAACAACCCCACAAACAACACAACAAAACAACCGGCGCCTTCTCCGTAGCACTTAACATTTAGGCTCCCAAGCACCTAAAAGGGATTTAAAAACTGGGAGTTTTGTTTTGGCCAGGCTTCAGTCCGCGGATCAGGCTACAGCATCCCGGTTCCGAGCTCAGGCAGGATTGTCAGGTGGTTGTGTCTGGTCCCGCTCCGGCTCTTCAGTCGTGGGGTGGGATGTAATTAATTCTCTTAACGAGCGCGCCCAAGGACAGACAAAAGGCTCCATGGTTCTTAAGGAATGGGATTTGGCAGTTTAATTAGTCAGCACCAGACAGAGCCTCCTGCTCCGCTCCTTTTCCATCCTCTTTGGGTTCTTCCAGCGCTTATCCCAGTCTGGCGGGGTGGAGATGCTGGAGTTGTGTCCCAGGCGCCAGCAGTTGTGGAGAGGACACGCAGTGGCCACTTTATTTTGCTGGAAATGTTGTTGGGATGGTTTTTAGCTTCCCCAGCCAAGCTGGAGAGACAGGAATTTTTTAAAAAAATCTTGCAAGAAACGAGAGATGGACACGCTGTTCTCTCCGGAGCAGCTTCCAAACCAAATGTCAGACTTGGCCTTTTCAAGGAAGGTTTAAAAAAAAAAAAACCAACTTGGTCAGAGTTTCAGAACTCGGGAGCAAGGAGAGGGGAAGCTGCTCAGCTTCTCTCCCTGAAAAGCTTTGGAATAACCAGAACCGTGCACTGCCGTTAATCCTCTCGGCTCTGCTTTGCCGAATAAAGGGGTCTGACCCTTCGCCGTGCCGGATTTTCCCCCCCAGCTCCCTCCTCAGCTGCCCCCTCTGCCAAGAAACAAGATATTTGGGGACAATTCTTAGGATTTCTGCTAGGAGCTCGCTCTTAGGATTTTGGGAGCGCCTGCTTCGGAGCTCGTTCCGTTCCTTGTAGCAGCGGCGATGGAAGAAAACGTTGCTGAAACAAAAATCTGGATATATGCACTATTTTTTGGAAGAAATAATTCCCTATTCTTTGTATCCGTACTAAATCTATATCATGTTTAGATTTTATTTTTTTTTGAAATTCCCTTTCTGGCTTTAAAGCCTTCCTGCAGCTCAAGTTCACAGTCAAAGTAGTGACTTGTTCAAGGTAATTCCTGTGTCGCTTCCAACTTTTCCAATATGTAGCCAGACGAGCCGGCAGCATCTCAGCGGGAATATAAATGGAAGTCAGACTCATTTCTTCTCCCTGCAGCACACCTCTGAGCTTCTTCGGCTGCTTTTTCCCTGGGTGGAGGTCACAAAGCCTTCGGGAATCTGCTCTTTCCATCGGCAGCCGCCCCTCACGCCCTCTCCTTTCTCCGCAACAGCCTCCGGCACGGTGTGGCCGCGGAGGCGGGCGGGAATTCCAGCAATACTCTTGGTTTTTTTGGATGGAGATTTAAAAAATTGCGTTAGCTGTAGGTATTCTAGTTTTGTATTCTCGTCCTAACAAGCTTATTCCGTGTTTTTTTTTATATATATTTTTTATATGCAGCCTCTTTACACGACAGTATTAACGTTTAACGCGTTTATAAATGGGATTACAAACAGCGGGAGTTTGTTGGTTGTTTTTTTTCCAGGGAATATTATTCCAGGGACCTTATATTTGGATTTAACCACTGGCTATAGGAACAGCGTGGATTTTGACCCCTCTCCACCAGCACTCCCACACCGGCGTGTCGCATTCCGCGGCGCCAAACGGTGATTTATCCGCTGCCCCGATCTCGTGGATCAGGGAATTTCCACGAATCCCAGCGGCTCCGTGATTTTTTCGGTGTTCACGAGCGTTTTGCACGTCGGGGATTTGAATGCTTTTAACCGAACTCTCCGTGGCGTTTGGGTCGTACGGAAG